AAAGTAGTTGTATTAATAAAATTTTGCAGTATAGCTTTTTAAAGTTTGCATTTTCTTATAATTTATTATAAGATTTAAATATAAAAATTAATTTTCCAAAGATCTTTTTTTTTGTTATTTTCAGCCCTTTCTCTAGCACCTAGCCTATATGTAAAGAGAGATGTATATATAAGAAACTTAGAATATGATCTACTTGCCATTAGCTCCAATAGCCCTAATTATTGACAATGTGATAAATACATTGATAAAAATTGGTTCTACTTGACAAGAGAACAATATCTCTAGATGAATTAGATACTTTTTTCATAGCACTGAATAATGCATCATGAAAGGAGCTACTACAATGCTAATGGTGAAGTATTCAGTTTCTCAAGTATATCTTCACACAATAGTCTTATGTGCAAAGATGACTTCTTTACCTAAAAAATTTAAAAATATGCACTTAAGATATTACTATATGTAGTATAAAAAACAATAATTAATTATATATTAAGTATGAAGATGAGTAGTTCTTGCATTCAATCACAATAGTAATTTCAGCAATACAGCATATAATATCCCTACTCCTGTCACTAGAACTACTATAGAATAAGTAATAAATAGTGAATATTTGTGTTATCATCATTAACTAACAAAGACTACATAGCTAGAATAATCGATGGTTATATGCTTAAATGCTAGAGTATATCCTATTCACTAACTTCTTAGAAGAACATTTTCTAATACAGAAAATGCTTCTCTAATGCAGAGAGAGCCAATTAAGCTACAGGAACCTCCATAACTAATAGAGAAGAATGTTAACTATCAAAATAGTTACCATGATGAGCTTTTAATTCTCTATTAGGTTTTATTAAACAGATGTAGTAGCATAATTTCAGATATACTATGACTTGACAAATAATCAATAAGAAAAACTTATCTAGTATGTATATATTGTATATTTTCTATTAAAGCTTCAAATTTTCTGAAGCCTATTCTTCTTAATTCTACTATGATATCCCATTCAAGGATTCTTTCTAACATAGTAATACTATGCTCTATGAGAACACAAATGACTTCTCTTTCTGTATTTGGCATTTTTTTGTAAAAAAAAAAAATAAAATTCAGAAAAAATTAAGTATTTTACAGATCATATATATATTAAATAGATATCTTCTTTTTGTTAAAAGTATTTCAACACATTTTCTGTTGTATAACAAGACTTGATTCAGCACTAAAACAATCATACTGCAGTTGTTAGATGAAGCTATTTTGTACAAATAACGAAAGATGAAACCTAAATTGAAAACTCTGGTGAAAAGTGAAATTCTTGGCAAAAGCTAAAACTCTTAATGAAGGTTAAATTCTCCTACCTAGACCTTAAAAATGACTAAGTAAGCTATGTTGATGAATATAAATATTTTGTGTAGCTATTAAGTACAAGGTATGGCTTATATTAATAAATTGCAAAAATAATAAAGGGTGCCAACTTTTTGTTTGTATTTGGATACAATTCAAAGCCTGAAATTTTGTTTTCTTTTAGAAGTGCTTATCTATTATAACTGATATATACGTAATTCTGTTCTATATATGAATTTCACTTCCATATTTACCTCTATAATTATATGTAATCTTACCTTAGTACATACATATATAGTAAGTATTAGATATTATTATATATTTAGTATATGTAAATTTCCTCAAATCATGTATACATAGCTGTATAAACAAGTTATTTATGTGAAAGCATGTGCAAGTTAGATTTGGTAGCATAAATATTATAGTCTTTAATATTAATATATAATGTACTCACCTTTAGCTTACATATCATAAAATGGTTATAGTCACAAAGTTGATCATGTTAACAGATTGAAGCTGAAAGAGAATGTATAGTGTTGATGAATGTTATCAAATAGAATAGAGTTGAAACAAACAAGTATATTGCATTCGATTTTTATTAAAAGTCTGGTAAATGTAAATACTATATAATCATTCAAATAGTATTCAATTTGTTGAAGAAGAGATAATATAATTTTAGAATTACCAATAAAGATATAAACAACGATATTGAATCCAATAATGATGGTAATGAGATCATCACATGTAGAATGAATAATAGTAGAAGGGAAAATAAAAATAATAAAGAGTATTAGTTAGTATTTATATGAATCTTGTTTTTTCTTGTTCTAATAGATCCTCTAGTTATGGTATAGCTCAAAAAATTAAATGCAGAACAATACCTGAAATTAAAAATATTACTGAGATGGATGTTATTGAAATTTGGTGTTTTGGTTATGTTCTGATATGTACTACTCTACTTTTTGAATTAGTAATTATTATATGTCTTTATATTTTGATTAAGTAATTTTTTTTGAATTGAATTGAATTCATTGTTATTATTAAAAAAATTGAATTTTAAAAGTTGGGTCAGCAGGTAATGTAAAAAGAAAAATTAATTTTGTAGTTTAGATTAGGATAGAAATTTTATTAAAATTAGATCTTGTGGCGCAGATGTTTTGTATAAATCAGATTTCAGAATTTTGTACATATATATAAGAAATTATTATTAATGCTTTTTCCTTGAATAATTTTTACTTTACGTGTAAAATCTAACTCTAACTTTTTTTGCTTTTAAAATCACAGTTTATTGAAGTACCTATATACTTTAAAGTATTACTTTACGACTTTTATTTATATATATAGTTCGTATATATATACTTCAATATCTATTAATGTTTATACAAAATATTTTAATCATGAGTGAATTTTTCAAGAACTTGTTCTGGAATTCGATGATAAGAATAATACTTCTTTACTGCAAAGTCAGCAGCCTTTCCAGAAAGTCTAAGTTCATAAGCACTTATAAATCATTCAGAACAATAAGCAAAGTGGTAAATTTTAATAAACTAACAGAATCCAATGCTATTAGAACAGTTTTTTTGAGGCTCTTAAAACTATAATCACAGTAAAGTCTTGTATAATATTTCACCTTAGCACAAATGGATTCAATATAATTAAGTTCACAATAGAACTTAGGGTAAAAGATGCATATGTGGCTAGTATCTTCAATTATCTAAATTATTTATATGTATATAAGTAATAGTTTTTAAATAATTTTTTTTTTTTTTTAATAAAAAATAACTTATTTACCTCATATGCATGATCTTTGAGCTACAAAGTCAGGTTGAGCTAAAAGAATACGCAAAGTGTAACAGTTTAGGTTGTTTGGATCAGGCTTATTTTTTTACATATATCATATTTTTTTATAAGATCTGGTATTTATAAACCTCTTTCTTCAAGAACTCGTTTAATTTCTTTAGGCTATTTTATATTAGTATTGTCTATATAGGTCATTATATGCTTAGAACTATTAGACATTATACCATCATGAAGAAGTAGTTTTTTTGTACTATTTTTCATACCTATTTGTGAGACCAAAAGGGCATTTTCAGCAAATGAACTATGATTGCTACTATTATCAAACATGAATAAAGCTATCTTGTTAGAGTATATTCATTCAAATATTGGTATAGTATATTCAACTACCTAATTAACTAAATTATCATATATCCACTAACTATCATAATTTATATCTGAATAGATAGAAATACCTGCTTCAGTATATTTAAGATATATGGAATCAGGAAGTAAGTTATTTATACTAATTTCATAGTCTAAAAGTTTGAGGTGCCTAATAGATTCATAGACAAAATCACTAATATGAATACTGAAGTCTTGTGATTAAGGATAGGAATCAAAAATTAGTTAAAAAAATATTTTTATATAGCCAACTTACTAAAATATTAGAAATAATAATATATATAAGATACGTATTGGCTATGCAATAATTAATATCATAATATTTGAGCAAATGATTAGCTAACATATGCTATGTAGCAGCACATTTCATCTAATCATTTGCTCTAACAGAACAAATTTTCTGATATTTATTATCAATGATCCAATATCAATATTATCATGCAATTATGATTATGATTTACAAGTCGTAGTTGGCTAACTGAGTTTTAATTCAAGAATGTTATGCTTATAAAATAACATACAAAAAAATAATAAGAAGAAAAAAATCTATGATTATAAGAGTTTGTACGATAACTTGGTCTATTGGAGATTAGTGAAAATGAAAATTCTGCTTATTCACATATAGTTCAGGATATTATTCATTAATCCTAGTGATATTGGTATAGTGATCAGAAATTATGGCTAATTGATACATAATATTTTAATTAATACGTAATTAAAAATTTTAGTTAGCTGATTAGCTAACTAAAAATGTTAGTTAATTCTGATTTTTACTAATGATTTTCTCTGTAAGCCATATTCACCCTTTGAGCTCCAATATTGTTTTATACTATCATTTGCATAAAGAGTAGTTTCATCTTAGATAAAGAAACAATTTCAGCTTCATCAGGAAGAAGATTTGGTGAGATACAGTTTAATTTTTCACTTTCATATCTGGCTATTCATTTTCGTAACCTAGCTATTTCCTGCAAAAAATCATTTCTGTACTCTACTATATCTTCACATTTGTAGTCGTCAAAATAAATCTTTTTTGTATAGGTTTGGTACCTCTATCCAAGCAATTTTAGCTATCTACATGCAGTTGACCTGCTAATGGTTTTACTTATGACTCTAAAAGTAGATGTAATATAACTAACATAACTTATAAAATTTGGAATAGATAATTTAAATTTATTTTCCTCCAAATACTAATTTATTTGACATTGAAAACTTATATTATGTAGTAATGATTTTATTTTTATATGTTTACCACGTTTTGACTTCGTTAATTCTTTGTTATTCTTCTATTAATTTGCCTAGGTACAAATATGCCGAACATGCTATGGGCCTTTATCCAAACTCTTAGCCAGAAGTTCACTTGTTTTCATTTTTGTATATTCTTCATTCACAAGATGAAGAAATTGTCTTGTTGTATTGAGATTTATATTGACAATTTTTGTTTTCAATTGTGTATCTAGTGATAATAATATTGATTTATCATCATTAACACTACTGTCAGGGTTCTTATATGATGAAGAAGCAAGTTTCAATACTGTAGGCCAATTTTTGTTGATAGAATTAAGTGCTATAGGTTTGTAACTTTTGTTGGAAGTCTTATTAGTCAATTTAATGGACGATTTATTTTTCCATTTTATAGCAGCAGCTTGTTGAGATTGTCTTGTGTGTTTATTTTACTTTAGTATTTTGATTTTTTTTATTTTTGGTATTTAATTTACTTTTTTTTTTTTTTTGTTATTAAGGTAGTTTATATTGCCAAGCGAATTTTATTAGTTTGATATATGAGGTCCTACATAGGGTTCTCCTATAGTTTGTAATTATATGAAGAGTATACAACAAGCTACACATACAACTTTAGTCATTGTCTAATTTAAGTAGTCCGCTATGCATGTGTTAGACCATCTGTTAATACTATACTATGCTGCCATACCTGTAACCTGCTTGTGAGTTACCTATTTAAACACTCTGTTCAACTAACTCATACCGTTACAAACTAACGTTATTGTAACATCTAACTGCTTATGCCAGCTAGTTCATTGCAGATCCATTTATCAACTTCAGCTTAGGTCCTCTTGGATTACATTATACTCAACATATTGTGAATATCTGCAGAGCTAATTAACCTCGAAGTATACCTACTAGAGCGGCCCATACCCATTTCACGAACTCACCTAGTTTAGACTCTTGTAGATATTCATACAACTCCAGTTTCTACCGTAGCTCTCCACCAGTGTTATTTTGAGATCTCACCGAGGCCTATCACGAGTTAGATCCTTCTAATCTAGTTAGCCGCCAAGCCAGATTGGTGTAACTGTAACATATAGCGATCCCCACTGTGATACAGACTTATACGTATCTAACCCGATTAAAGTCTTTGAACACACTATCCTTCTAGATCAAGCGTTAGCTAGTATGACCGTTGAAAGCTGTACTACTTCACTAACTCAGAATTTCTACTATGCAGGTCTCCTGCCTGTAGATCCTATTAAGATTTATTTGTGTAATATTACGTCTCTCCAAATGCCTCGTCACACTTCCAATATCCAGATGATATTGATGCAACGTGATTTACAGGGTTACAACTCTAGAAATGAACAGAGTTTACTGTAAGTTAGGTACAAAGGTCTGAGTAATTATTCAAATTTATCGATAGTGGAATTTGAACTCCAGACCTCTTGCATGGCGGTCTGGCAACCTAACCACTACACTAAGATCGCCAGACCGGTATTTAATTTACAAGTTTGTTGAGGTATGTATATGTATTAAAAAAATTAAAGAAAATATAATCTAATCAAGTCTTCTTATACATATATTTATAATCAATATGTATTATTAATATTGTCTAGGGAATCAATTAATCTTTATTAGTATTGATTATACATACCAGTTCATATTCGAACAAAGCCTATTCAAAACTAGTTTTAGGATACATATATGCATATTATATACTATATTTTTGTGTAATAATGCCTACCTGTATATTATTTGAGTATAGACGTATTATTTCAAGTATACGCATATGTGCTATTTTGAGTTAAGAGCTAATTGTTTGATATAAGAAGATATGTTTATAATTGTTAATTTACATTGATCCAAACATATGTTATTACATGAAAATATGATACATATTGAGGCAATGAGCTCAATAAACTAGTTTTTTGAGATCTATTCATGTCGTAAATAGAGCTCAGAAAACTAGTATTCATTGTCTCTATTCAGAGCTTTATTAGCTTCACTTGTAGCATCATTAGGTTTCATTGAAGCAGTATTTTATTGAAGTGGTATTGAACTATAACAAGGCTATAATGAGTCAATATTATATGATTTTACTAATTAAACTTAGTAATATAACCTATTATAACCTTGTCTTAGTCCAACATAGTTGGTCAATAGATTATATCTATATATTGGCCTAATGAACAATGTATCTATTAGTTCTATTTGTATGTAGCTCTATTAAAGCAATGAAATTTAATTATGTTTAAAAAATTTATTGCACATTGAAAAAGGGGTGACTAATCAGTTGAATACTAAAACTAAATAAACTTCAACACTAAAATGACAAAACTATAATCTAAAGAGTCCCAAAACCTTGAATTGGTAAGTTGAAAGAGACATGGAGAGACTTGATCTGAGTTTCAAGGTTTTTCAAGTCTTACTGAGGCAATACTAGAGGTTAGAATAAGTATGATCCTGAATTATACTTTTACCACTTGGTTGTAGGCTTTAGTTAGAAGCTAAAGTTAATTCTTCTCTTTAAGTTTAAGTATAGTAGTGTTCAGTATTCAGTTTCATTCTTAATAATCATATATGAATTATGTGACTGTAAATAGAATTATGTGATATTGATCGAAGTTTAATCAATTGTTATTTAGTATAAAAGAGACTCAAATTACTAATCAAATCTTTTTTTTTTTTACTCTTACTAATATTCAGAAATATAAATATATAGAAACCTTGATAACAAGAAAGTTTGGAATTTAGAGCTGACTCTTCTACTCAAATTTTGAAGAGTTAAACTCAACTTGAGTTGTATAGTTAACTTTAATGAAGATATCAGGAATAGAGAAAAGAATAATTGAATATTTTATTATAGACAAAGCTTTAAGATAAATATTAAACTACTGAAGTCACTACTCTACTATTATATTTTAACTCAACCTAGTTTTGTTATTATTTTAATGCAAAAGGAACTTCAATTTTATACTTTTTACATCTTTAATTAATTACAGGTTTCTAAATCAAACTTATATGCAAAATGAATTAAAGGTCATAAAGGACATAAATGCTTTTAACAGCATTCATGCATAAGTGCTATAAAAGGACAAAGTATCATTAATATGATAAATGGCTTTAATGCCATAAATGACATAAGTGACAGAAAGGAAACAAGTTCATATATAGCAAGGAATGATGTATAATTAAGGTAATTTTATTTTGATGTACTACATAGCTGTATTGAGTTTTAATATATATATATATATACATATATATATATATGTTGTATATCAAATTAAAATATGTATCAGATCAAAATAACTATAATGCTACTAATACCTATATACTCTTACTCTAACATAGGATTTTACTCTAACCCTAATAAAAAATATTTAAATTTTGATCTGATACAAATTTTAGTTTGATGTACAACATATATATAATAATTTTGAAACAAAAGAATAACATAATCTTAGATTGTAGCAGCAATTCAAGTGGTAATATAATCTTGACTCTGCTATAAATAAAGCATAGACATACCTATTAATGAAAGAAGGTATTTGAGCAGTATTTAGAAGTCTGCTAAAGCTCAAAATTTAATAAGCAATGTAGTTTTGATTCTACTAATAGAGTATAGGCATACCTAATAATAAAAAAAGGGTATCTGAGTAGTATTTGAATCTGCTAAAACTGGCAACTCAAGAGGGCATAGATATACCCAATGATAAAAAGAGGCATCTGAGTGGTTTTTGAATTAGCTGAAACCTAAAATTCAAGTGAACAGCATAGTTTCAATTTTGCTATAAATAAAGTATAAGTATACTCAACTATGAAAAAGGTTGAAACTAGAAATTCAAGTAGGCATGTAATTTTGACTAAAGCACATACAGATAATGATAACAAAAAGCTATTTGAATAGTATTTAATCTGTTGAAGTGAAATTCAAATAGGTAATATGATTTGGATTCTGTTATAAATTTGAGTAGTATTTAGAATTATGAACAATTAATCTTAATTCTATTATGGATAAAGCTCAAGATAATAAAAAAGCATTTAATTAGTATTTGAAATCTCTAAAGTGGCAATTCTAACTACACTATCTAATCTATTTTTTTTTTTTTACATATTTTTTTAGATATGTTATCAAATTTAAATTTGCATTAGATCAAAATTTCAATACTGTTAAAATCTGCTAAAATAGTAGCAATTCAAGTGATAATATAATCTTGACTTTCTATAAATAAAGCATAGTTACACCTATTAATAAAAGAAAGGCATTTGAGCAGTATTTGGAGTCTGCTGAAGCTGAAAATTTAAATAGGCAATGCGGTTTCAATTCTACTATAATAGAGTATAGGCATATCTGATGATAAAAAAAGGGTATTTGAGTGGTATTAGAATCTGCTAAAACCAGTACTCAAGAGTGTATAAGTACACCCAATAACAAAAAAAGATATTTGAGCAGTTTTGAAATTAGCTGAAACTGAAAATTCAAGTAGATAGTATAGTTTCAACTTTGCTATAAATAAAGCATAAGCATACCCAATAACAAAAAAGACTGAAACAAGAAATTTAAGTAGACATATGATTTTGAATAAAGCATATGCATACAATAATAACAAAAATATATTTGAACAGTATTTGAATCTGTTGAAGTGAAATTCAGATGAGTAATGTGATTTAGATTCTGCTGTAAATTTGAGTAGTATTTAGAATTGTAAACAATTAATCTTGATTCTAATACAGATAAAGCCCAAGATGAAAAAAAGTATTTGATTGGTATCTGAAATCTCTATGTTAGAGTATGGGTAGATAGTAGCGGATTCTAATTATTGCTATAATAATTATATTATTTTATATAATTTTTAATAAAGCTTTTAGTTTATACGTACATGAGAAGATTATTATTTTGTATGTTTTAAGTATTCAATATTTATTTTTATTTATTATTTATAAATATTAAATACAATTTATTATAATTTTAATGTTAATATAATTATACTAAAAAAATTTAACTTTTAAAATAAATTATTTATTAAAATCAAATAAAAATATTCAGATACTTGGCTTTAACAATATTGTCTACTTGCTACATAGAGGCATATTTCAGGTTATTTTTTCTAGGAAAAACCTTATTATTTTAAGAAAGAAACCTCGATATAACTAAAGTTGAAACTTTAACAATTTAGATAGTATAGTGAACATTATGAAAAACAGAAAAAGTATAAAATAAATGATTCATAAATATTCATTACATATACTAACTATAAGATCATAACTGGATAATAAGAATGAAAACCTGGAAACTAATTTAATGATTTACTATTATCAGTTTCCAGGTTTTTACTCTCATGCACTCATATATTCCAGAAACTACTATGTATATAGTATTATTTATTCTGGAATTTCTGGAATATATGTTGTGTTGTATACTATAATCATCAATATTATTTCTTTAATTAATGATTTGCTTAGTAGTGCAATATTTAATACATTTTTGATACGATTAGATGATTTGTACTATACAATTTCCTAAGAATTCTATAAAAGAAAATTTTTACATCTGTTATTTTTATACATACGTAGTATATATAGTATAGTAGCTTCATACTAGATACTTGATGCTATGCTTCTTGCTTCATATTTCATGCTTCATACTTGATGCTATGCCTCTTGCTTTATGTTTTATACTTCTTGCTTGATGCTAAATTTAAATTTTGAATTCTAGATATGTTATTATTCTCATTTTTGTAAGAATTCAATAGTATTTATGTATAAACTTTTTGTATTTTTGTGTTTTTAAAAAATTTTTCATCAAATTTTTTGCCATTTAGATAGATTAATAATCACTAATAGTCAAAAACTGTAACAAAAAACTATAATAATAATAATGAGATTGTTCTAAAAAAAATCATATAAACTACTAACATGATTTAAATACTTAAAAAATTATATATTATTATTGATCATTTCTAAACTTATGTTAAGTTACTAGATTTTTAATCATTTTTTATATTTTGGATTGAATTTATATATAACTAACACTAAGGCTTATATAGGCTTATACCATTTTTTATTAGAAAAAAAAAATTGTTAAATAAAATATTAAAATATAAAGAATAAATAGCATATAGCTTATTTATAATATTTTTGTTTGTATTATATTTTAATTTTTTGGCTTGAATAAAAGATCGCTAAATTTTACCTCCTTATATAGTAATAATACAAAGATAGAATTAACTGTTAATTATTTATTCTCTATTTTGTTATCTTATACTAAACTAATAAACTGTAAGTGTTAAATTTTTTATTTTATTTTTTATTTTATTATAATGCCATAATAAAAACTTTATTACAAAGAAGAACAGATATTCAAAATTTAAAGATTTCTAACTACATTTGTGTTATATAAAACTAAATTATTAGTTATTTTAAGACTACCCAATGTGATTTTACACTTCTTTATTCCTTATTGTATGCTATATTTAATTATTTCAAATTAGTTTTTAGCTAGAAAAAGTTAGAGAAAACCTAAAGTGTTAATTATGACATTATAATATGCAAGTTGTTAGAAAGAAACCTTGTAGAAACTATTTTTTGATTTCAGATATAGAGTTTGTTGTTTAAGTAGATATTGTATTTGTATTTGGTTTGTTAGAGAGTGTAGGATATGAGAGTTTTATACATTTGGTTTTTGTTGTAATATTTCAGTTAAGTTCCTATTTGTGTTGATATAGATTTTATTGAAATCATATATCATTATATAGCTAGTTGAATAAGTTGTTTGCTATATTAGTAAAGAGAATATCTGTTTGTTTTTGAACTAAATTTTTGATATTAGTATAAGTTGTTATTAAGAAAATACTAGTTATAGTGTAAAGAATATATTGATATTGTGGATTTGAAGAGTTTAGTATGAAGTTTAGAAGGATATTAGGGAGTGTTTAAATAAAAATTGTTGTTATTTTAAGTAATGTTAGTATGTTATTAATTATATTAATTAATACTTGTTGAATATTTGGATTATTTTTTGTACAGAG